AAAATTAGTATGAGTAGTTTCATGGCAACCTCGGCAAGTATGGGAAGGGGCGGAACAAACATGGTTATCTTTTCAGTTTTGTAAATTGTTTTTGTCCTGGTCTAACTTTTGAATATCGGTTTGATAACCTTCAATTAGTTGCTGATAGTTGTCGTGGTCTTGTTTTGCTTGTTGTCGCTGTTGTTTTTGCGAGGCTAGTTTTTGGCGGGCGAGCCGCAATAAGGTAATTCGGTAGTTTTTTAAATGTTTTTGTTTGAGGGATATTTCGTTGGTTAAATCATTAGTCGCGGTAGTTAGTTCAGTAGCTAAGTTGTTTTTCTCGCTAATTAGTAAGTCAAAATCATGTTGGGCTTGTTCTATTTCTGTCGGAGTGGGACAATTAGCATGGTTTTTGGTGATAGTGGCTAATTCCTGCTCGGTAATCGTTAACTGGTCTCTCTGTCCTTGATATCGCTGCTGAAAAATGTTTCGTTGTCTGGTTAGTTGTTGGATTTGCTTGGTTAAGTTTTGGGTGTTTTCTCTTTCGGTAGTTAGGTCATTTAGATCCTTATTTAACTTGTCAATTTGTTCTTGGTTATTCTCTCGTTGCTTAACTAAATCATTTATGGTTTTACTATTTCGCTTTTCGGCTTCCTCATTTTGTTCTTTATTAGTTTCTAATTCAGCAGTTAAGATGGCAATTTGGCTGGTAAGTTCAGCATTTTGCTCCTTTAATTCATTTCGCTCCCCCGCCAATAAATCAACTAAATGTTTTACTTGCGGTTCTCTACCAACTCCTAAACTTTTCTCTAATTTAGCAAACTCCACTGGATAACAAAGGCGTAATCATTCCAACTGGGCTTTTAAAACATCATCACTTAAAGGTTTTAACCCATCAATTATCTCCTGCAACTTGTTTATTTCCGTTTCTTTATCGGCAATTTCCCTTCGCAAGTCGCTTATTTGCTGGTTTAAGTCCGTTTTTTCTTGTTTTATCTCATAAATTTTCGCATTACTTCGCCGTAAATCACCTTCCTTGAAGTATAATTGTGAGGATAAGGAATTATTTTCGCTCCGCAGACTTGAATTTTCACTTTGTAATGAAGTTAGAGTTTCCTCGGCACTTTTCTTTTCCTCCGTAATCTTTTCTGTTTTGCTTTCGACCTCGTTTAATCTCTCCTCAATATTATTGTAATCAACACTAAAACTTTTTAATTTCTCTCCTAGTTCCTTATTTTCCTCGGCTAGTTTAGTAGTAGCATTTTCGGCCTTTTCCAATAATTTCGCATCCTCAATAATTTTTAATTCGCGGGCGGCTAACTCGCTATCTTTGGTTGTTCTTAATGCTTCTAACTCCTCGGCTAATCCTCCACTAATATCTTGTCATTCCACCGCCTCTCCTTTTGCTTTGCGGAGTTCTTTTTCCATTTGGGTTTGCAATTCCTCTATTTGAGAGTTTATTTTATGGTTTTGGTTTTTTAATTCCGTAACTTCATCTGCTCTTTTTCAGCAATCTTTTTTTCACATGTCTAAACTAGCTTTTTCATTTTTAATATCATTTTCTAACCCCGCAACTTCCTCTTTTTTTTGGTTAATTTCTGCTTTGAATGCTTCTCTATTGTTAATAATTTCCGCTTGGTAGTCAGCAACTTTTTTGGTTAAATCTTCTTTCTCCGCCGTAAGTTTCGTTATTATTTTTTCGGCCTCGGAGCTAATGGAGGGAATCGCGACTAATTGGGCGGTTAAGTGGGAAACTTGCTTTTCCAACTCGACTTCTTTTTTCTTTAAATCGGCTACTTGGGATTCCAATTCGGTAATTTTCAATTCTTTTTCGTATTTTAATCTTCCTTCCTCTATATATTGTTTTCGGTAAGCATCTTTATCACTTTCAATATCTTCTATTCGCTTATTTAAAGTTTCAACCGAAGCCAAAACTTCGGCTAGTCTAGTCTCTAATTCTCCTTTTTCAGTTTCCGCAGTTTTTAAATTTTCTTGTAATTCCTTAGTAAGTTCGTTTATTTTAGTATTTAATCTAGTTATTTGAGTAGTTAACTCCTCCTTTTCAGAACTAATTTTGGCTAATTCGGTGTTTAATCTTTCCAAATCTCCAGTCAAAGTTAATTTTTCCTGTTCAACTCTTTCGTAATTAGCGGTCAAATCTTTTTTTTCTTTTTCTCACTCGTTCCTTTCTTCTCCAAATGCCTTAGTTAGAATTTCCGCTGCCGCTCCATCGCTTTCCAAATCTGCCTCTAACTCTGTTATCCTTGCCTTTTGTCTAATTATTGTTTCTTCCTGTTCGACTACTTTACTTCTTAACTCACCTTTCTCGGTGCGGGCGGTTTCTCCTACTGATTTTGCCACTTCCCGCAATACTCCCACCTCTTCCTCTAACTTTTTTATCTTTTCCTCTAATTCTCCTTTTTCCCGAGTGGTTCGGGATAATTTATTTTCCAATTCCGCATTTTTACTTAATGTTCTGCGACTATTAGTTTTATATCTTTCATGCTCCTCTTGTAATCTTGTTAATTCACTCTCTTTCCTTTCATAGGCTTTTTTTGCTTCCTCAATAGAAACTTGGTTATCTTTTTCCTTGTCTTGGACTTCTTTCAATTCCTCCGTCAAGGAGTTGATTTGTTGCTGCTGTTTTTTAAAATTAGCCTCTAAAAGTGCTTTTTCCTTTTTTAAGTTTATATTATACTTAGCACCTATTTCTTGTAATTTCGCATTAAGCTGGCGAACTTCTTCATCTTTTTTTCTTAGTAATTCTTGTTGGCGAGCATAACTGTTTTCCAATTCTCCTTGGCGGCGGTTATAATATTCTAATTTTCGCATGAATTCTTCCACTCTTTCTCTTCATTCGGCCATTTCCTTAGCATCCACCGGAACAGTTTCAACAATATTCTCACTTCACTCCGCAATGCTATCGAGCATTTCCCGGCGGCTTTTTTTTATTTCCTCTCCTCGCCGACCAAGTTCGCTGATTTCACTCCCTATTTCACTCCCTATTTCACTCCCTATTTCACTACTAATTCTGCTTAATTTGTCTTTCACAGTTAATAGTTCTGCGGTTATCTCTTGTAAATTTTCTTGGTTTTTGTCAATTTCCTCTAACTGAACCACTACTCAGTCGGCTTCTTCTTCATAAGCTTTCGTTTCACTAACACTGCTTTCTCGTTGGTGGCGTTTTTTCCCTAAGTTTTTTTCCAAAACCTCTATCTCTTGCTGAGAATCATTTTTCTTCTTTCTAAAAAATGATATTTGTTCACTTTCTTCGCTTGGGTTTGAAATAGAAATCATATTTTCTAGTTTTTCAAAGTCTTTTACTTTCGTTTTTTGTTCATCAATTCTCTTTTCATTTTCCGCAATTTCCTCATCTAATTGACGTTGGAATTCCTGTTGAGCGGCAATGGTCGCCCTTAAACGCTCAATTTGCTCGTTTAAATAATCTCCTTGGTTAGTTAAGCAGTTTTTAACTTTGCCGGCTTTTTTTTCGGTTGCGGCTAACTCTGGGTCTAAGTCTGCCGTAGTTTCCTCAGTTTCCGCCGTTTCCTTGTCATAATCAGCCAAATGGTTAATCATATTCTCCACTATTTTTTCGGTATCAGCAATGGCTTCCTCGGTAATTTTTTTCTTTTCGTGGAAACTACTTTCATCAAACCGAACCTCTTTAATTTCCCAGTCCTCTACTTTTTTCGCCTGAGTCAAAAGTGTCACCATTCCCTCTTTAAGAGTTTTGACTAAGTCAATGTTAAATTTCTCGGCATATTCCCGCTCTAATTCTTCCTCATCACTCTCTTCACCTTTTTCCTCACTAGGAACCATGAAAAGTGTTAAGGCTTCTTCTCAACTGTTTCGTAAATCATCTTCCGGATAGGGCGGTAAGTTTTGGCGGGTCAGTTCTCAATTACTTTCCAACATTTTCAAAGCTTCCTGGGTTTTGTTTAAAATTTTTATTAATTTCCCTATCTTTGATAAGTATTCTGTTTTAATTTCTGAGTTTCCTAATGGACTTTCTTCGGTTGCCGAGGAATTAATTTCGGCTAATTCCTCTTCTAAAATATTAATTTTTTCTTCTAATGTTTTTACTTGCTCGGTTAAAATTTCTCCGACCGCTAACTGCCCTTTTAAATCTTCCCGTAAAATTTCATGGAGAGCATTTAGGTTATCGCTAGTTGCTTCATCGGGGTTGCCCGGTTCTCTTCTATCTCGCCAAGAAGAAATTGAGGAATTGGAATAAGTGCGGGTTCGCACGGAAGAACGGCGTCTTGCCTTGGCAAATCCACCGCGACCATTGAAATAATCTAATTCTCCCAACCCCTCGCCCGCCTCGGGTCAGTCAAATCCGCCGCCTTCAATGGGAGATTCTACATATCCATCGCTCAAAAGCGAAGTCAGACTTTTTTCGGAATTAGTGCGGGAAATAGGCAAGGGCAAACGCGAAGAACCGGAACCAGTTCGAGTTAGGGGAGCAGGAGCGGCAGAAAGAGTTTTAATTATAGTTCTATATTCATCATTTTTGTCTTGTTTTACTAGTAATTCCTTGTCTTTGATCGCTAATTCTGCCTCGTGGGCTGTTTCTAATTCTGTTAATGTTCGCCCGTATCTTTCGACAATTTCGATAATAGTGTTGTCAAAGGTATTTTTTTCATCTTTTAATTTCTTTACTTTTTCTTCTAACTCAGTATTTTTTAATCTTATGTCAAAAACGGAGGAAGCGGCGGGAGCCGAAGCGAGTTTTTCGGAAAGATAAGCATTAATTGTTTCTATTTCTGTTTTTTGTTCATTTAGGCGAGTGATTTCAGTTTTTAAATGGGTATT